GACGACCGATACATTGCACGCCCTTTCTTGCTGTTGCAAAAATAGTATAGACATCCTTCATGCATGATATATGGCGCTGAAGAATCCCAGGTTATCGGCAGGTAGCCAGCAAGCCCCCACTACAACAGAAAAGAGAAATTGATAGAGTGACAGCAGGTTACTCATAGTCAACAGTCGCTACACGTGACCTGTGCGCTTGAATGCTACGCACAAACCCATTTCCCAAAAACACTGCGTTAGGTATGGACTAATGATATTGAGTGAAGTGACTCCCTGACGAAGTGCAATGACCGGTCAGCAAATAATTGCCACTGTATTATTTTCTAACTTTATAATTATTATAGCACGCTACCAGGTCCATGCTGCACTTCGTGTTAAAGGGGAAGTTAAGGCAAAAATCAAAATTTCACCAGCTGTAGTCTTCGGGGTGCTGAGTCGAATGGTCGTGGTCCGAGGAAGCTGAGACGCTCCCTTCCTACTTCAATTCCAATCGAACTCGCGCACTTCCACCGAAACTGGGTGACTGCGCCCTACTAGATGGGGATTTGTATGCGAAATGTCACTAAAGACGCCATTTCGTTCTTATAAAAGCACGGATGACCGCGATTGGCCCATATGTTGTAGTCTTTTGGGCGCTGAGTCGACTGGCTTTGGTCCGAGAAAGCTGCGATGCAGCGTTCCTCCTTTATTCCCAATCGAACATGGTTGAACAAGCGGTCACGTGCTCCTGGGTGCCCAAATCACCTGGTCACCGCGCCAGCAGGCGACAACTTTCACACCAAGGTTCAACTCGAGTTCAACTCGAGTGACAGGACTGCACCCAAAAAAGGTCAAACAGGCTAGTAAGTTGTAACCTGCAGGCACCGTGACCAGGTGACTGGTGTACGCAGGAGCACGTGACTGCTTGTTCAACCATGTTCGATTGGGCAGAAAGGAGGAACGCTGCATCGCAGCCTTTTCGGACCAAAACCAGTCGACCCAGCGTCCAAAAGACTACAACATATGGGCCAATCGCGGTCATCCGTGCTTTTATAAGAACGAAATGGCGTCTTTAGTGACATTTTGCATACAAATCCCCATCTAGTAGGGCGCAGTCGCCCAGTTTCGGTGGAAGTGCGCGAGTTCGATTGGGATTAAAGTGGGAAGGGAGCGTCTCAGCTTCCTCGGACCAAGACCATTCGACTCAGGGGCTACATTCAGGATACATGTAGTTCTCTGATGTTCACCTAAGGGGAACGAGCGGGAAATACGAATAGTGAGTATTCAGGTCGTAGCATACATACACCTATTACATATGCGAGAGACTCAGAGTCACACAGCTAGTACTGTGTTCCAATCTGCCCGCAGTGCACAAAGAGGAGATTTTAAACTAGGTTCATATGGACATCACTACGGGCAGATAACTGGGGCCTCAGCTAGGCCAAAAGAGCACCCCGTTGATGAAAAGGGCTCCATCAAAATACATGGATACTTTCGGTGAAAATGCAAAGTCATTATTCTGCTTCCCCTGGCCAAATTCCTTCAGCAAAGGGTCTTTGTGCATACAAACATTCTCAGCTACTTGTACATACACGTATGTCACGGTGCTATTTTTAAGTTTCACCATGGCAACACACTGGAATAGAGAGACATGGTACTTTTGACTGAATTTACAATTTTGCAGCATCGAGTGTGACATTTTGGAGAAAGGTGTTGTTTTTTCACGGCTGAGCGTAGCGAAAGAGTGCAAAAAACGTATTTTTCACTCACAAAACATGTTCGTGCGTTTGCTCTTCTTCTGCGCAACTCCGTTGAACCTGCCATTGTGGTCTTCGTTTTTCCTCGTGGTAGTTGCAGTTATCGTGAGTGTGATTGTTCCGGTAGACAAGTACCACATGTACTGAACAGTTGCTCTGTGAGTGAAAAGTGACCCTTTCTCATGCAACAGGTCAAAAGACTCGCAGCCCACTGTCCATTCAGACATGACCAGGTGTACATGAATCTGCATAGAGATTTCCATCGCGGAGTCGAGGGAACACTACTTTCCGTAGTGTCTTGTACAAAAAACGTGTCTCATTTAGAAGCTAGCCTGTTTTGAATACAAGCCTGATGTTTTCAAGATGCACTGTCGGCACATAAGCCTGGTTTTAGTGTTGACATACAGTGACACCTGGTTAGTTAGAACACTGATAAGACAAATGTTTGCCTAAGAAGAACTAGTATTCGCAACTGTATTGGATAAAACCCTGTGTATTCACTGGGTAAAACATATGGATAAGAAGAACTCCCGTTATTGCAAACAAATTTCATCGGTCCCTTGATGTTCGTCCTAAAGAGGTTTGACTGTACATAGAAATACCTGTCTTGTATAGAAGCATGTCTCATATAGAAGCCTGCAAAATGCCCCCCAAAAAGTCATATAAGCCGCGGCTTTTATACACGACTTTACGGTATTTTAAGGTCTGTGCATTATCCTAACGATCTACATGGCGAGACTCAAAACAGGGCTGTGTCCGCTAGT